TTCCTTTTCGGGCCAAAACTCATTTTTTCAGGTTACTGGGTGTAGCTGGGGCTGCGGCTCATTCAGACTGGGCAGGGAGTCTTTCTGGCGTGGGGAAGTAAAGTTTGAACCAATCCTGTGCAACATCCGGAGCTGAGGCTACATGGCGTTTCCGCTGGGGCACCAGCCCTGCGCGGATACAGCCGTATGCTGAGAACGCGCTTCCAATACGCAGAAGACGCGGGTGCTCAGCGCGCTCAAGATCCATAGCGCGCCTCGATCCGCTAGGTTGTCCAAAGCCCAGCCACCGGGCAAGACCGCCCGTTTATGGAGGCCTGCCATGGGAATTCGCAGGTTCAAGCACAGTGGCGCCTTCAAAAAACACACGGTCATCGCAGTTTTGAAGCCCTTGCCCAGCCGCACTGCGCAGCATGCTGCCAAGGGACAAACAGCCATAGCGTCTGATTTCCAAAGAAACAGACAAGCCTCCAGGTTGGGGTGAACAACTCTTTACCACCGCATGGGCCCTGCAATCTTTTCGTGAATCAGAAGCAGCCTAGGCCCATAAGCATAAATGGTCAGTTTCCGCCTATTCCAAGAGAGTATAATATCTTGGCAGACCAGCTTAGAGGCGTTAAGAACAAGTCGCAATCTAGAGAGCATTTCACACGCACGATTTCTGGCCGCGTGTGGAGGAAATCAATCAAAAGAAGGAGTCTTTGAGAGCTGTGACATTAAGTGGAATCGGCCACATCGAGTGGAGGCGGGAACAATGCGGCATCTGGGGCATTGAGTTCCACGTCCAGGGTGAGGAGGGTGCGCGACACCAAGTGGAATCAGTTCAGCACGACAACGCAAAGAAAGGCTGGAACATGAAGAGCAAATTCGAGCAGGGGAAGTTTTGTAGATAAGCCGGTAAATAACCTGGCATGGTGCAGATGCAGTGGAAAACAAGCCTGCTGATCTTTTCCCGTATTTTGAATCCTCACTTTTGCATTGTGAGGGGGACCCCCTCACTGCTTTTTAACACGCGTATAAATGCCTACCTACCTTGCCGGAGAGGAACTGATGATGTTGAGGATGTAGGAAGCGCTCGATTTGCTGGTGATGCTGGGGATGTTGGCTGGACATGCGGGGATGCTGAAAACGATGCTGATGATGTTGACGGGCTGGTGTAAAAATACGTACATTTCGTGATTTGTTTTTGTAAAATACAACATTCTACTAGCCAAGACGGAAGACAAAAAACATCATCCCACAATAAAACAAAAATCCCAAATTAAATCTCGACCCCTTGAATATCTTGGTAAGCACGGTCTTCGAAGCGCGGATTGGAATCTGGGTTTTATGACAAGCGTGATATTTGGTTGCAATCGCTCTCCATTGGGGCAAACACTGTGTCAGAAATATGTCTGAAGTGATGCGTTCGTAGCCAGCTATGGTTTATGTTTTTTGCAAAATTGCCTGCCTCTAGGCTGTTTGTTTTTGCGGGCTCTTTACTTGTGGTTTGGATTGGTGGTAAGTGTAAGGAAAGTGTCAATTGATGGAACTATAGAGGAATTGTTTGGATGTCCTGCTAATAGCGAAATACACACGGAGGCGGTGTTGTCTCTCTCCCTCTCTCTCTCTCATGCGGCGTGAGTGAGGTTATGCCTTGAGCGAAAACTGCAGACAACGCCCATGCTGTTGTGATTTTTGCGTAACTGACCCACCCCGCCACTCCCACCCCTCCAGAGCGCGGGTTTGGAGCTGAATTTCGTGGCAAGCGCAGCACTTTGAGTGATTGCGTGCGCCTAGGGCCTGGATCGTTGCGCGGTCCGGTGAGTCCAGAATTGTGTGCTCAGGTGAGGCCCCAGCCGGTGCCTTGGGCGCGCATTTTTTTTTTTTTTTAAGTGCGGGAACACCGAGGGCGCAATGACAGGAAACAAGGATTTCACCCCCAAAATTCAAAAAAAAAACAAGACGTTTTGTTTTTCTCAAGTTTTGCAAGCGCATGCTAGTACGCGATGGACAGGAGAGGCAGGGAAGTTGGTTGGAATCTTGCCATGTCAATGTGTTGAGCCAGTGTGGTTGGTTGAGTGGAGTCTGCGCACAACAGCCATGTGAAGAATTCATCGCGTTGACAACTACACGACAACTGAACTACACTGTGATGCTGCCAAGCAGGTCGAACGACATTTCCTTGTGCCATTGGTACCCACTTACACTTTTTGACGGAATTCTCCCATTGCTGAGAAGGCGGTCCAGGAGATTGTGCTGGGGTTCCTGTTGAATATGTATCTATGGTTCACAGCGTCAGCATGGACATGTTCACAAGAATCCTCACTTATTGGAAGCAAATGTGAGCAAGCTTCAATTTTGCAGTAGCGACAATTCTCAGTGATTGAGCAAATACTTGTCAACAGCACTTCAGCGGTTCCAAAAGGTCGAGGGTGTGAAGGCGGGCCATGGAAAACATCACATGGCTCACTGTTCCAGTTCTCGATGTTCCAGCCGCGTGGGGTGCCCAGAGCCAAGCATCCTGGTTGTCATGCATTTTGGCCAAACACCGAGGTTCAAATCAGGCCAAAGGGACTAAGACTCACCTTTGCCGCCTTTGTATTGCTGCAGCCTCACTTGTGATGCGGGACCTGGCAGTGAATATGGAGGATCGGCATTTTTCGCATTGTTGTGTCATTCCTCAGGTTGGTGCACGCAGCACATCGTTGGGCTTGGTCATCCGATCCCGGTTTCGTAGGTGTCAGCATCTTGGTCACAAGCAACAGTTTGTAGCGATGCGGCTGGCCGGGATTTTTCTTTGCAATTTATTTGCCTGTGTCCGTGCTAGAAACCAAGGTGTTTAGCACATGCAGCAGAGGTAGGCAAAGTTCCCACCTCAAAGATGGTTTTGAGTGGAATCGGGTCAACATCGCTGATTGCTTGACAGCTTCTGAGGCTGCCTCACTGCGCATGCGTGGCGAGAGGAGGCAGTCTTCGCCTTGGCCTTTCCATTCTTTGGCAGATGTTTTGAAAGCAAGATCAAGCGGACCACTTGGAGGGGTTACACATTTGTGAGACAAGCCCACACAGCAGTTCGCTCGGACAGACCTTGGATGCTGATGGCCTGAGTTTCGTCGTATTCTCGAAGCCAACTATTGCCAGGATGCCGATGGCAATATCAGCAGCATGGACTGGGATGAGGCATTTACGACATGTTGAGAAACTAGAGCAGTGAAGCATCTGCCACAGATGCTGAGCAGCTATGCACAACAGGAGTTAAGAAAGGCAACCGGGCTGCTCCAAAGGAAATTGGAGGAGGCGTGCAAACTCATGAAGCTGCCTTTGACGGTTGCCAATTTTGTTGAAGGAAGATCCATTTGCAACAGTGGCGCCACGAGTATCTCCACTAGGCGCAGTGCACATGGTTGGCCAGAATAGCGCAATTTGTTTCTGGGGACCAACTGTAGAGTCGAACAATCAACATGTCTTGGAGCTCTACTTGTTGTTTGCAGCATGTCTTCGGGTTTGGGGCCTCTGCTTCGGCTGGATGGGGCGCCGGCCAGGTCATGACTGGACGGTGGAGAGGCGCTCCCTTTCTGTGCCAGCGGAGTTCGGCATGAAAACGGGCAGGGTGGAGTTACAAGATGGGATGCCGCCAGTGGGCACAGTAAGGCCCTAAGCGCCCTAAGCTTCAGCATGTGTGCTCCATGTGAGAGACAGTTGTTCATGCCTCGACCAGTCCTGCCAGAGCAAAGCTGTCCAGATTGTTTTGCTCGCATGTGAGGTCCTTTTGGCAGATCCCCGCAGCTTTCTGGAGTCCACAGATGAGCCGCCTGCTGCCGCGCGCACCGGGCTTCCCGCCCGCAAGCTGGGTGAGCAGTGGCTTGGCTCCATTACCAACGGGGCGGGATTGCTGGTCCTCAGGCTGTTGCCATCGACGGAGACATCTCGACGAGAGAAAGCACGGCTTCCTGTACGGGCCTCATCTTGTTCGGTGGTTGGGTTAGGCAGGATTGGACAGGAGGTCAATCGAGAATTGTTGGCTGTTTGGCTAAGACAAGAATTGAGCTGTGTTGCAGGTTTGAATATTTTGCCTGCGAGGTTGTCCTGGTAACTCGACATCGCTTTGACAGCATAGAGGCCATGGGTTGGGGCTTTAGATATGGACGTGTCGCTTGAAATCGCTGCAACTCTCGAGGGCGTTCTGCTGGGCAGCTGGAGTGGGAAGCTGCTGGGCGACATGGGCGTTCAGGCAAACAGTCCAGCTGCATTTTGCTTTGCTTGTCCTTGGTTGCGCCGCAAAGAGCGCAATGCTTTGATTTGCACGTGCGACAGAATTTCATGACCCGCCCTCTGTACATCGGCGGTGCTCGGATCTCAGATGTTTGGTACTTTTTGTTGCCATCACGCCAGCTGATCTTTGCGCTGTTCCTGCTCATTTGGGCACATGCTGTCCAGGTCAATCGGAGTGGACTTTCGATGTTGCACGCGTGCGCCCCGTGAATTGCACTTTGAATTGCATCAGGGCAGGGTTGCAGTGATATGGCCAGGTACCCGGACATGCCAGGATCCTTCAAGCTGACTGAGGAGGGTCTGTCAGCCAGGCCAAAGACAGAGTTGTGCTTCTTTGGCATGGTCTGGAGCCGGTTTGTTGAACGGCAAATAATGCCTTCGCTGCCGGCCCATGTGACAAGCCAGCTAGCAGAATGAATGCCACTGCGTCTACCTGCGCAAAAGCCGCCACCCAGCTATGTTGACGTCAGACTAATTTGTGAGTGTGATTGAACCGTAGAGCTTTTCCACGATGTTGCAACCGTTAGGCACAGCCTACTTTTCGACAGTAGAAGAAGTTAGCAGACCAAGCTGCTGGCGATGCCATGGCTCGGGGATAATGCGCCGATGGCTGGTGTGTGCTGTGCTGGTGGCCGTGCTGCGGCCATTACTTTTTGCCAGCCCCAGGTCGGGCGAAGGAAAGTCCTTTGCCATGTTGATCAATCCGAAGACTGGCGGATGCAATGGGCCAATGGGCTTGGCGTTCGCAGGTCGGCAGGACGGGTGCAGCGGCGGGCCCAGCAGAATCCCTACGACGTTTTGGGCCTGGGCCGCACAGCGGGCTACGACGATATTCGGGCGGCTTTCCGTCGGCTGGCCAGGACAGGAACCGGATAGTGACATGCCAGGGAACGGTAACGTGTAGTAACTAGCTGAGGCATGCCAAATGACCGCCGCGTTGCATCCAGGAAGTATCATCCAGATGTCCCAGGCCATTTGTCAGTTTTGGATGCGCTCAGTTGGCTGGTTTTTTCGGCTTACACAGCTTGCATGCGGCCAGACACTGGCGACGATGACCGGTTCCGAGACATCCGGGAGGCCGGGGTAACGCGCGGGATGAGTGCACTGAGTGCACCGAGTGCACCGAGCCATGAGGCGCTGGAAGAGCTGGGGACTCCGGAAGGTGCGGGAGCTTTGAGCGCCGAGTCGCCGAGTCGCCGAGTCGTTGAGTCGCCTCGAGACTCAGGCCGGACTCGATGGGCCAGGCCGAGCCAAGCCCAAAGTTCTTACAGCTCTTATCCCAGGTGGGGTAAGCTTGCCCGGTTCATGGCTCGGAAAATGACCCGCAGGACTGATCCGTTTGAGAAGTCCTGGAAGCAAGAAACCAGAAGGCGTTGGCAGGAGCAGGAGCGTGCGAGAGAGCAAGAGAGGAGGCAGGCACGCAGAGCAGCAAGTGGAAACATGAGAAGATGACATGAGAGCCTCAGCCTGCTTCGAATCCTGTAGGTGGCAGAAGCAGAGGCAACAGCAAGAGAAAGAGGAGGCCAAGAAGGCGGCGACTTGCAAGCCGCGACCAAAGAGCTGGGCTCGCAGTGGCAGGCCCGGGCTGCAGCCGCGCAAGACACATTCTTCTCCAAAGAGCTCAAGAAGGCGCCTTTTGCGGTGGTCGGTTGAATGGGCGGGGACGGATTCTGCCGCTTTGGACAGCCTTTCGGCTCCAATGGGCCTGAGAAGAGCAGAACATGACTTGGGAGGCCAGGACAAGCAATTTGCAGCAAGACGTGTATTGCAATTCATCAAATTATTTTGGTGATTGCCACGGGACATTGAGGGTGCGGGTTTGCAGGGGAAAAGAGTGTCTAAGTAAGCTGTAGAAAGACACTCCGCCTGTCAAGCAAGCCATCCCGCGTGTGCCCTGCCATGCTCCCGCCGGCCACATGGGAAGCTCCGAGCAGGCCCGGAATTGGTTGAAGACAGTGGTGGTTGGTCAAACTTGTGCTCTTTTGTTGAACCTCCCGAAAGAGGCAAGCCAGAAAGCATCCGCAATTAACTTTGCATCTCAAAAAGTAGCTGCAGGACGAAGCGCCCTCTCCCAGATGTTCAGTGCATGAGGCACCACCAAATGCTTGCAAATACATGGGGACAATTTCATATGGGGCTGATCGGGAAGGTCATGAACCTTCAATCATCTCTTTCAAGGAATGGTGAAAGTGTTTGTGCCAGTCTGTTTTTTTTGAGGTTGACGCCCTGACACAGAGCTATTCGGGCCTTCCGGGGGGGGGGGGGAGGGGGGGGCAGCCACGCGTTTGAGGCGAGCCCTTTTCGGGCCGGAGATGCGGCGGAGATCCATGGTCTGGTCAACCCAGCATATTCTGTTTGAAGCGGCTTTGGTTGGCATTTCTTTTTCCGAGGGTAGGACGGTCATTTGTTACGGAATGTTCAATGATTGACCTTGAATCAGGGTTGGGATGGGGACACAGCCACGGCCAGGTGAGAAAACCGGAAAACAATGGGAAGAAAGTTGCCATCATTGAGTGGCTCGAAAAGGAGGAGAGGTTCAAGGCTGGGACTACGAAACTCCAGGGTTTGCTCTGATGACAAGGTGTCTTGTGGTCTTGCTCCAAGCAACGCGTAGGTGGAGTTTCCGTCAGGAAGCACCACCAAAATAAAGCCCGAGCACTTCGGCTTTCTTTCATCAAGACCAGCTGGGAGTGGTGACTCTATCAGTTCGGTTTTTGAATGAGTTGCAATGAGCTGAGGAACTTGAAGAGGGTTGAAGCACCTCTAGCACCACCCGTTGTGAGGCTTGGGATTAAGAATGACAATATCATGCTTGTCATCCCTTGCGCCGCTGTGCCTTGGCCGAATGGAGTTCAGGGAGATCGAGGAGGAAGAGGCTGAGAAGGCCTCGCCCCGACGGGAGAAGGCCAAGAAGCGGCGACGAAGCTCCAGCTCCCGACGAAGTGGCAAGAGAGCCAGGCCAGGCGCAGGCATCGCGTAAAACTATGATGTTGTCATGTTTAGCTGCGCAAGATGGTGCTGCAGGAAGGAGCGGTCACAAGAACAGCACGGCGTGCCACAGGCAGCTTTGCAGCAATAGTCATCCCATCGGCCAATCACAGGCTGGAGGCAGGCAGCTTGGGGTTTGCAAAGCTGTAAGGTACGCCCGCTGGACGTACGCCCACCGGACGTACGCCCACCGGACGTACGCCCGCCGGACGTACGCCCACCGGACGTGCGCCCGGATGCGGCTCTGCCCTGAGTTGAGGGAAATGAGAGTCTGAGAGAGCTCCCCAATCCGGTCGGACTCCAAGGCTCCGCGCATGAAAGGTGTCGGGAAAGGCGGCAAGGGGCGCAATATCCAGATCTCCAAGGCAGTCTTGCTTTGTGGTGGTTGCTGAAAATGTTTGGCAGCGCGAGGGGTAAGGAAGCAACAGGACACAAGCTGGTGGGATTGCTTCAAGAGAGTCGAACGTGAGACTAGTTTTGTCACTTGTAGCTATGAACCGCCGGTATTTGTCTCGCTTGCTTTTGTGCGGATGTCGCCTGCCAGACATTGGCCCGGGTGCTGCGACACACTGCGACGAGCCAAGGGGTCAAGGTTCAGGCTGATGGCTTTTGTTTGGTGCAGGAGGGGGCTGTGCCTGGCAAATTCGTATGCGTTTGCTCCAAAAGGTCGGTTTTCCTCTGTTTTCACCCTACAAACAATCAGCCAAGCAGCTTTTGAGGCACCGCGCTCCGCCACCCTTTGGCCCACCAGTCCTTGTCGCGGAGGATCTCTTGGTGCTTCCGGACTTGAGATCGCTGGGTTGCACGGTAGAGGATGTGAAGGCAGGTTTCCGCCAACGCTTCCTTTAGGTTGTGCATTTGGTGAATGGGTTTGAGCGTGTGACGTGAGCGCAGGCAGCCGTGCAGACTAACGACAAGAAGCGATTTGAGATAAAGGAGGATAGCCAAAGCCAGGAGTGTCTGCGAGTTTTGCGTTGCCCTTTATAGCTTTGTGGTTGAGTATGTTGTGTCCGTCAGGTTTGGATCAGAGCGGTCCAGGGGCATTCTATGAAGGCAGATGCTGGTGACGCGTTGCCGGATCTTGCGAAGCAACGCATGCGAATATCCTTACTGTGCTTACCCTTGACACTTTACAGGTTGTGGAAGATGACAGTCTTCTGAAGAAGCTTGCCCATTCTGATCCTGATCTGCCAACCGCCCTGCTCACAGATTGCACGGGGCGGCGCACGATGCTGGTACTGATTGTGGATGCACAAGTTCGCGCTCGGCCAAGGTGTGCGTGCATGGCACTTACAGGCGTTTCTTGGAATCAATTCAGAGGCCGGTTTGCACGCTTTGCCGGACCATATTCTTGAGTTTTGAATGATCTATTGAAGGATCTAGATGAAGGGCCATTGCAAGGAAGACGTTGCTGCAGTTGCTGAAGGGAGGGCATGCCGACTGTCAGTGCTATAACCACTATCAATGGCCAGTTCTGTGGCATGCAGTTGCTTTACGGCAGGAATGGCCTCATAGCTGGCGGCGGGATTTCAAACCGCAACCACGTGCACTTTGCGCCTTATGAGCCTCACGACGGACGGGTCATCTCCGGCATGCGCCGCTTGTCTTGTGACGAGATTGCTTTGTTTGCGGATTTCGCTGTCTGCACCTTCAGGTTACAACTGCGAGGCGCGAGAATGCAAGAAGCAGAGAAAGAACACCGTCACCGTTATGTTGCCCGTAAAGTTTTGGACTACAGCTCAGATGGGGCACAGGGCGTCTTGTTGCATGTTTGGCAAGGTGGCGGTTTACGTTGACTTGCCTGCCGCCTTGAAGGAGTGGATATGTGATGCAAGTCGGAAGTCGCACTGAATCTTTGCAAAACATTGAACAAGACTTGTAAGCAAGGAGGAGTCCCAAAAGCAAACAGGAAGCCAACATGGTTTGCCGAGTCTTTGGCTTCAAGGCTTGAAACTTGTCCACCCCATGTCCCAGGAGGGCGTGCCCTTCTTCCGAAGCGCGAATGAGGTGATCCTTTCGCCTGGTATCAACGGCACAGTGCCAGCCAAATTCCTTCTGAAGGCCAAGGATCTGTCGAGCGGAAGCATAGTCAATTTCAGGGCCGAATAGGCCCTGCCAAGTCACTCGTGCGGGTAAAGGTCTCGCGGCCAATGACTGAGATGCAGCAGAAAGCAGGGGAAGGGATGGGCGGGATGGAGATTAGTCCATTTGAAGCATCACCAGCTCCGTATCGGAATTTGGATGGAACTGGGCAGCAACTGCCAGAGTTGCCAGGCAGTTGCACATGCTCAACAGCGACAGGCCCGGGGCTTTTCCGCAGTGGGCGAGGTTTTGCGTGGCGCTTTTGCAAGAACACCTTTTAAAGAGCGGTTTGGAGGCGTTCAAGCGCGCATTAGTTTTGTTGGGATCATTTGTTGTCTCTGAGCGAGAATTGAGCATGCTCTCGGAAATGACAGGCCGCTCGTCGCATGGAGTGGAAAGCTCGAATGAAGGACTGCTGCTTTTTAGTCCATTTGGCCGTGGGTCAACATTTAGCCCACTGAAGATGCTTTCTGATTCCGTTTGTTGTTTTCTTTGAGCAAAGCAGCACAAAAGTGACAAGGTGGACGGGCGGCAGGTGGCCCCCAATTTGGAGAGGTGAGTTTTGACGCATTTCAGCACCAGGTTTGACCTGAGCGAGTGTTGGAGAACTCCGGAAAGTGGAATCGGGCTTGTGGAGACATGGGAGCTGAACACATCCAGGAGGCTGCTCACAAGCTGCGAGAGAAGCTGAAGAAGGACCACAGCATAACGCGAGCCTCAGTTTATACCTGGCCTTCCGCTGTCGGGGGCGTCAGCACAGGAGATGTCAGCTGGCTGGAATATCATCAATGACTTTGAGCAGCAGCGAGGTGAAGAGATGAGGAAGCAGGTTCACTGCCATTTCGAGCATGAGACGGGCACACCAACATTGTTCTAAGACATACCAGTCAATGTGCCAATGTGCCTTGCAAGGGTCCAGGTTGTGCTGTGCATGCCTTGAGAACTGTTGGTTTGAGCTGTCAAGCTCCAATCTATGTGGAAAACTCATTCTAGAACTTTTTCTCTGACTTTTTGGCCATCATTTCTGGCAAGTTTGTTTGGTTTGATTGCGGATCAACTCGCACTGGGCATCGGCCAGCGTTTTGGCAAGGTGGACACGTGGAGTGTGAACCTCGAGTCTGAGAAAGAGGCGGCGGTGGCGCGCCGAGCTGAGGCGCGGAGTGGATTTCTTTGGATTTGGGATGGGAATGATCAGAAAGTGTTTTGCGCGTCCTGCATGGTGACCCAATTTTGAAGATACAGCCACAAGGCCTTCATGGGCAACGGCTACCTTTTGGGGGACTAGGCAGCTGCAGTCACCAACTAGAGAGACAAGTGTGCAGACTTCCTGAAAGCGTTCTTTACGCGATCCAAGCCGCCTTATGCTACATGTCCTTTGGGTGGCCTGCTCTGCATCCTGAACTTAAACAAATCACAGCATCTAATACTGTCTCGCAAATGCAGCAGGATGCCATAACAATATTTTGGTGTTAGGCTTGGTCCTCGACCGCACCAGGGTGTGGATTGCTGTTGCTGGTCCAGTCTGATGCAAGCTGAGCGAGCAATTGATCGACGCAGGATGGCAAGCGTTGGGTCGAGAAGTTTGCTGAGGTTCAGCGCAAGGCAGGAGTTTGTGATCGAGAAGCCTTTGAGCAAAGCCTCGCTGCAAAGCTGCGGTTGTTCCAACTCACATGGCAAACGACGTAGCCGGGCTGCGCCAGACAAAAGCTATGACAGGGGTGAAGCTGAAAGTTGGCTCAAGTGTGTCACGGCTCCAATTTGCCATAAGCCTGTCGAGCGCTGTGCGTTGCGCTGCTTCGGTGGCTTTGCTGTGGCAAGGCGATGCAGTGCTGTTGGAGACCACTGGTGGACTGAGTACGTCGCAGCGGCTCCGCCTGGACAAAAAGTTCGGGAGGCGAAAAGGAAGAAGCTGACGCGGCAAGGAGCCAAGGTTCGGCAGGCGGAAAAGGATGAAGCTGACTTCGCGGCCAAGATGGCATCTTCGCCACTTTGTCCAGGGTTGGTGCAGCAGAATGAGCAACGTAGTTCCACGGCGGCTGTGCAGATGTTGCCGGAGAGGAGTTGAGCGTGCCGCTGCGGTATTACGTCCTGATGCGGCAGAGCAGGGCGTGCATGGCAAGGGCTTTGCAGCTGCAGCAAATGATGACATGTCTCCACGAGGCGTGGGATGATGGGAAGGACCCTCTACCTTGGATCCTGATTCACAAGCAGTGCGCACAGACAGAGTGCTGGCGGGGAGGAGAGTCCGCAAATGCCACACTCCTACAGACATTTTGCTCAGCATTTGTTGCTCGGAGGAGCGGGAAGACTCCTCCGGAAGGTTGCTCTTGGTCGAGGACACAGGTGGAGGAATTCTACCAGACAAGAAAGGCGCAACAACCTTGAAAACATCCCGGACATTTTTGAGGTCCAGGACTGGGGCCCTGGCCTCTCTTCGATTGGCCGTCCAGTCGCAACATATTTCTGAGGGCTCTATCATGTCACTACTTCATGGCGATCTTCTTCGGAGGCAGGACGCGTTACAACGAGCTGAGGATCAGCACTTCATGTTGACAGTTGTGCAAGGGGATCAGTCTTCCAGATGCAATGATGGCTGGAACTGAACTCATGCAGAACGTGCCCGTGCTTCAGTGAGCGCAACACAAGGCATACCTCAAATAGTTGCAGATGGGAGGCTTCAAGTACAGCCTGAAAGACAGCTTTATGACTTGGACATTCCAGTGCTGTCAATTGGAAGTCGAAAGCCATAATACGGACAACGGCAGATGCAGAAATCCCAAAATCCCATGTATCACTTCCAGGGCGTTGAGACCGACGGACCGAGCCCGACGCACGTTGCCAAAATACCGGGTGTGTCAAAATGAGGTTGCGCCATGTTGGATAACACCCACAGCTCCCTTGCCGGTTTGCTTCGCAAAGACAATGTGGCTAGTCAGCAATGTTGCTTGTGCATGTCATTTTCCCTCCCCAATGACCGACTGAGTATTGAAAGTGCTTGTTTGCAGGCGTCGCATCGTCAGGAGGAGCTGACTTGTCCGGGCGTATCCGCAGCTTCTTACCCTTTCTTGTCTGATTTTGTGTGCATTTTGGTTCCTCCTTGTTGTTTTCTTTGCCAGTACGACATGACAAACCTGTTATTTTGCTGACTCTTTTCAGCTACTCTGCTTTCTGCAGTGTGCTTGCTCGCACATTTTGTTCCTTCATTCGTGTTTGCATTTACTGCATTGCTTGCGTTTGCGTACTGCCTTGCTTTCTTTGTCTTGACGTGTCATGTTCACCCGGTGATGTGGACCATGTGCGCAGGAAATTGGCAAACTATATGCTGACCGACTCCGAGCCTTTCGAGAAGAATTCCAGCAATCTCGGCAGGCCGCAGCAAGCAGTTTAACCAACAAATCTTGAATATGTTCTGGCCAGTCGAAGGTTGAAACGCACCCTGGATTTGTTGCTTGTATGTATCTCTGTCACCGTCACCCATTCGACAGGTTTGAGCCTACCCATTCTGCAAGCCCATCAGTTGCACATTTGCCAACCGTTTGGCTTAGGCTTCTTCGCCGGAGCGGATGGAGAAGATCAAGAAGGACCTTACTTCGAATGATGGCCCCCGTCAAACAGTTGGTTTCTTGTTGGTTCGGCAGGAGCAAACAACATGTTCCCATTGTGATACAGAACTGTTGCCCCGCACAGCCGCCCAAGTGGGGAGGACATTGAAGACATTCTCGACATACAGGAGGAGCGCACCTCATCTCGACGCTTCCTTGGCACTGAAAAGCAGGGATCGCTTTGACTCTGACGTGCCATACTTTTTGTAGTTACCACTTCTTTGGAAAGTAAACGCACAACTTTTGCCATTTGCAATGTGCCTCCTGTGCCCGATGGCTTTGTCCTCTGCCAAAAGTGTGGAGCATGCTCGTGAACGCACGATGATGACAAAAAGTGTTGGCACCAGAGCTGAGACTCAGGTCCATGAGCAGATTAACACTAGCTCTCCAATTGATGCCGAGTGGTGGGCAGGTGACGATTACAGGAATGCGGTGCATGAACTCACGATGATGACAAACAGTGTTGGCACCAGAGCTGAGACTCAGGTCCATGAGCAGATTAGCACTAGCTCTCCAATTGATTCCGACTGGTGGGCAGGTGACGATTGCAGGAATGCGGTGCATGAACTCACGATGATGACAAAAAGTGTTGGCACCAGAGCTGAGACTCAGGTCCATGAGCAGATTAGCACTAGCTCTCCAATTGATTCCGAGTGGTGGGGCAGGTGACGATTGCAGGAATGCGGTGCATGAACTCACGATGATGACAAAAAGTGTTGGCACCAGAGCTGAGACTCAGGTCCATGAGCAGATTAACACTAGCTCTCCAATTGATTCCGAGTGGTGGGCAGGTGACGACTACAGGAATGCGGTGCATGAACTCACAATGATGACAAACAGTGTTGGCACCCGAGCTGAGACTCAGGTCCATGAGCAGATTAGCACTAGCTCTCCAATTGATTCTGAGTGGTGGGCAGGTGACGATTGCAGGAATGCGGTGCATGAACTCACGATGATGATAAAAAGTGTTGGCACCAGAGCTGAGACTCAGGTCCATGAGCAGATCAACACTAGCTCTCCAATTGATTCCGAGTGGTGGGCAGGTGACGATCACAGGAATGCGGTGCATGAACTCACGATGATGACAAAAAGTGTTGGCACCAGAGCTGAGACTCAGGTCCATGAGCAGATTAGCACTAGCTCTCCAATTGATTCCGAGTGGTGGGCAGGTGACGATTACAGGAATGCGGTGCATGAACTCACGATGATGACAAAAAGTGTTGGCACCA